TTCACATCCACTTATAGTTATCCATAATATCCAGAATATCTGAAGCATAATTTGTGTGTAGTAACTCAGTTGTATACAGAGTAACAACTAGTCTCCAAAGGAAGCCAAATGAGTCTAAGGTATGAAGCTCAGGGGATATATTTTCTTTGATTTACTTCTCTGTACAAATAAATAAATAACCTGTGCGACACTGCTGAGGAGGTTTATCAAAAAATAAAGCCAGGTGCAGATCAAAGATACATCCCAGAAGTGCACCTGATAATTACAGTAGGATTAGTGTAAAATGAGTGCATTTATTACCAGCCTTATCATTCTGTATGTTTAGAGAGGGCATGTGCTTTATTTTAATTAGCTGTTTCTTTCACTGGATTGTTTTGCCAAACCATCCAAATAAACAGAAAAAATGTAACCATTGGTCAAAATGCTTGTAGCAAATCTCATTTTAAATTGAAGCAATTTATTCAGAAACCAATCTACTACTGCAGCAGTAATCAATGTGTTTTCCCTTAGAGTAGACCCGTTCTTGTTTTGCTGAAGGACTATTGTTAATTGCCTGTATCTAAATGATTGCTCTGCTCTTGAATGTAACTCTTTGGCACTTGTTCATTTGTTGCGTTTAACAGAATGCCAGTTCCCCTAAGGTTCTGCCTGATAATTTTTCTTTACAATTTTCAACATTCAGTCTCAGTCCCTTAAAGAGAGCAAGGTTTGTCATTTTAACATCATAACACAAAAGCTAAACAGATTTTAAAAGGTTTAAGCTTTTTGTTTCTCCCCTCTGATGTGGAATTGTGCTGAAACTGAATCTTTTTAAAATGCTGCCACTCCAGGCAACTTGAACTTGAGCAGAAAAAGTGCATCACACTTCAAAGAGAGGGTAATGCTTGCTGTAGCAACCAGGCCCAAAGTTTAATACAAAAGATAGAATAAAGCAATGGAGTGTGAAGACAAGTACGTCTTGCTACCTCTGCTTACAGTCTAGTGTTAATGGTCACTACATAACTATATCCAGCTATAATACATCACTTTTCATCGATTGATGTCAAAGTGCTTTAAGGGAGTCAGTATCATTATCCCTATTTTATAGATTGGGAAATCAAGGCACAGGAAAGCTTAGTACAGCCCCCGGGGGTCAGTCAGGCTTGTACTCAGATGGCTAGCCTGTGCCACGACCACAATGGCCACACTGCAGTTTTTAGCACACTTGCTTGAGCAGCATAACTAGTGCAAGTCTGTTTACCGGGGCTGGCAGGTATGCTTCCAGGTGCAGTGTAGACATACCCTTAGGATCAGTGAAAGCTCTTATGAATTTTGCTGTGTTGCTCTGTCAATGGGTATGAGGCAATGCTATATGAATTCAGATTGATTTTATTAAAACGAAATAACTATACATGCTATACCTGCTCTAGAGATGTTTATAGTTCCAGTTATGAAAATTGCACGAAAATGTACTTTAAAAGAGATGCTGTATTGACCAAAGTACTACTTTTCACATAGCATATTAGTTTGCACGTTGATGGTGGAAAGACAACTATGTACAGTGTTTTCTGTTTAATCGCTCAATCGTTAATTTTGGGGAACATTTTGTTTTTGAATAGTAAAGTTTTTCTTGCCTTTAATGCAACATAACAGCAGGCATATAAGTGGTATATTCTGCACCTAGCAACGTACCATATTAATTCCTCATATTCTGGTTACCACTGAACAGCTGCGTCACATGTGGTGCAAAATGATAAACGAGCTGTTGTAAGCCAGTGTAGTGTAATTTCCATTTCCATTTATTTTCCAAAATATTGTATTACTAGCCTATGCAAACTGTATTCTTTTAAAAAAAGAAAAGGAGTACTTGTGGCACCTTAGAGACTAACCAATTTATTTGAACATAAGCTTTTGTGACCTACAGCTCACTTCATCGGATGAATACTGTGGAAAATACAGAAGATGTTTTTATACACACAAACCATGAAAAAATGGGTGTTTATCACTACAAAAGGTTTTCTCTCCCCCCACCCGACTCTCCTGCTGGTAATAGCTTATCTAAAGTGATCACTCTCCTTGCAATGTGTATGATAATCAAGGTGGGCCATTTCCAGCACAAATCCAGGGTTTAACAAGAACGGTTTTAGAAGTTCCCAGAAGTCACCTACTACAGGACAGGCCTAACAAAGAAAATAACAGAACGCCACTAGCCATCACCTTCAGCCCCCAACTAAAACCCCTCCAACGCATTATCAAGGATCTACAACCTATCCTGAAGGATGACCCAACACTCTCACAAATCTTGGGAGACAGGCCAGTCTTTGCCTACAGACAGCCCCCCAACCTGAAGCAAATACTCACCAGCAACCACATACCACACAACAGAACCACTAACCCAGGAACCTATCCTTGCAACAAAGCCCGTTGCCAACTGTGCCCACATATCTATTCAGGGGACACCATCACAGGGCCTAAGAACATCAGCCACACTATCAAAGGCTCGTTCACCTGAACATCCACCAATGTGATATATGCCATCCTATGCCAGCAATGCCCCTCTGCCATGTACATTGGTCAAACTGGACAGTCTCAATGTAAAAGAATAAATGGACAACAAATCAAATGTCAAGAATTATAACATTCAAAAACCAGTCGGAGAACACTTCAATCTCTCTGGTCACTCGATTTCTGATCTCAAAGTGACTATCCTTCAACAAAAAAACTTCGAAAACAGACTCCGAGACACTGCTGAATTGGAATTAATTTGCAAATTGGATACAATTAACATAGGCTTGAATAGAGACTGGGAATGGTTGAGTTATTATAAAAAGTAACCTATTTCCCCTTGTTTATTCCTTCCCCCCCCCCACTGTTCCTCCTTGTTAAACCCTGGATTTGTGCTGGAAATGGCCCACCTTGATTATCGTACACATTGTAAGGAGAGTGATCACTTTAGATAAGCTATTACCAACAGGAGAGTGGGTTTGTTTTGGGGGAGTTGGGGGGGGGGGAAGAAAACCTGGATTTGTGCTGGAAATGGCCCACCTTGATTATCATACATATTGTAAGGAGAGTGATCACTTTAGATAAGCTATTACCAGCAGGAGAGTAGGGTGGGGGGAGAGAAAACCTTTTGTAGTGATAAACACCCATTTTTTCATGGTTTGTGTGTATAAAAACATCTTCTGTATTTTCCACAGTATGCATCCGATGAAGTGAGCTGTAGCTCACGAAGGCTTATGCTCAAATAAATTGGTTAGTCTCTAAAGTGCCACAAGTACTCCTTTTCTTTTTTTGCGAATACAGACTAACACAGCTGTTATCTGAAACCTGTATTCTTTTAAGTAAGCCTCCTCTGTACAGACCAGAAAAGTACTGAAAGTATGAAATAACAAGCACTGATCTTAAAAATGTTAACACAAAGGAGTTTCTACCACAGTTTAGAAAAGAATTATATGGAATGTAAATACTTTTATTTTATTTTATTTTATTACACTTCTAGTGTCCTCTGGGGAGCAATGAAACCTTTTTAACAGTTGTGTGTATCAGAGTAATAAAAAGTGTCCATTTATTGGTAGAACATAGTAAAATTAAATGGAACTTTTCTCTAATCTTTTATTTCTTTAATTAAATTGTATAATAATGTATTATTACATATACATAACCAAAAAGTTTACCTGGATAACATGAGGGTTTACATTGCTTAACCCAAGTACATGCTGCCCAAATGGAGGCAAATGTTACGAAGACAGGATGTTGTTTATAGGGCACAGTGCCCCTTAGTAGTGCATTTTGTAAAGTTTTCCTTATGGAACTCTGTATTCTCTTCCAGTTAGGCTTTTTATCAGCCAAAATGTGTCCATTCAATTTCTAAGTCCTGTCCCAGTCCTTCTTCAAAACTGGGGGTTAGAAATATTTAAAATTAATGGGTTTTCCTGGGATATACCAAGTTACTGTTCCTCTCTATTTTTAATGTAGCAAACAAACAAAACCCTTGGAGCTTTGCACAGTTTCATATCTTTTTTTTTCTTTTCACACTCTGATTTCTTATTTGAAAAGTAGTGAGAATAATAACAAAATGGACTCAAAAGAGTTACTTCTGCTTTCTTGAGTATTCATCTACTGAAAGTAGGATCAGCAGACAATGATGTCTATCACTTATTGTTATTATCTGATAAATGACATCACTAAGGAGATTGCTGTTGTCAGACAGATAGTGCTGCATTTGATTGGCTTCTTCCTCCTGAGGGATTGAGCTACATGACAATGATCTCCATCTATCATGTGAATCTTCAGTGGTACAATGTAACAAAGGAAGAGTGGTCATGCTCTGAATCTGAATGTCTGAACTGACAAATTGGGATGATTTGCAACATCTAAACAAAAGCCCTCCCTGTTTAGGGAGAGACAGGGGGAATAACGATGAATTACAGATCAAAAGGAAACTGTCAGATATTAACACATAACTGAGGAATGTGGTTTTTGGGGTTCCAAGGATGATTTGTCTTCATATCCCACAAGCATTTTTATTTATATTTTGAAAAAGTAAAATGGTTATCTTTAATCTAATGCAATTGACAGAAACCCAACATGAAACAGTTGTGTGTTCTGATATTTTGTGTGAGGTGTTGGGGAGGAGGGTTGTGTCTGCCTTCAGCTCCACAAAAGGAGAGCAGTTATATGTGCTTAAAATATGAATGCTGTGACATAATATATCTATTGCGAGCGAAACAGTGATATACAGATATATATTAAACCTGCACAGAACATTGAGTAAAAACAGTTGACTGACTTTTCACATAACCTATTTAAAATGTGGTATGAGGGTATTTACATATATATAAAGGAAAAACTGCATTATCTGTATGTTTCTCAGAGGGTCCCATAAATAATCTGGAAAATTAAATGCAAAAATCCTGCATTTGCATTCTACTGTTATCTTCAACCTGCAAAATATCTCCAGTGTTATCCTTTCTCCAGTTCTGAATGTGGTTGTTATTACATTTTATAATTCTTTGCAGAGCTGATGTATACAGTTGAGCTTGCTGGTGGGCTTGGTGCTATTCTGCTGCTGCTTGTTTGTTTAGTGACTATCTACAAGTGTTACAAGATTGAGATTATGCTCTTCTACAGGAATCATTTTGGAGCTGAAGAACTAGATGGAGGTAAGGCATCTTCTCAGTATGTTTCCTACTTTCTAAATGTGCTGGTCTCTTTTTTCAAGTGGTTAATTTTCATTTTGGAGCAAGAAGTGTTAACAATGCGGCAACCATCAGTGGCGTTTCTCTCACTGCATTAGGCACTGCATTGAAAATGCATCCCTAGACAGCAGATTAGAAGCAATGATTGTTTGACTGATGCATTTGCTGCTCTGCAGATCTCCAGGAGACACCTGTATCTTTTAGATTTTTACTCCCAACACCAAATGTAAATTACAAACATTCTATCAATATTGAAAGCCAACTTCACTTCCCCATAAACAAGTGAGTGTCTTCTCTAATTATATTCCCCCAAAGTATTGAGAGGCTGAAGTGAATCTCAATTTGCTCCTTGTTTAAGCTGATCAGTTTTGATAAACTGTACTGCATGTTTTGGAATTTACCCACCAGTCTATGCTCTTGAGTGTATTACTTACCTGTTTAGAGAGTGGCTAAGGTTGATTAAACTAGTTGTTCTGCAGATGTGGTGATTCAAAGACATCTAGTTTAAACAATAGGAATTGGCATTATTTGCACTGAATTATACACTACTTTTACCATTGAAGAAAAATGTTGTATGTGTCTCTAACCACACTAATCAGTGTCACAGCTGAATAGCAAACTAGGTTGAACACTGGGCTTCGATTAATTAGGCTTGGTGCCTTCAGTCACAGTTCTTGCTGTTTCAGACTGATACCATATGCGTGATACACTATATCCTTATTTACGAAAACCCTATTGAAATAAGGGTGTTAACCACTATTGAAGATACAAAGTATGGCTAGATGATATCCTGTTATATTTTATAGTGTGATGTGTGTGGGATGGGAGATGTTAGTCAAATCTGTCACAGTGAGGATGAACAGAGGCAGTAAAATTATAGGGGTCTATGTAATGTCATAGGATGGTGAACATTATGCCTAAGATCCCCAGGAGTTGACCCACTTCTTCCTACAATATAAAAATATGTGAAGATGTGAAAAAGCTAGTGCCAAAACAACAAAATCAGACTCAAGTAATCTCACCTGCTATACACACCCACACATACCCCCCCCCCACATAAATATATCAGTATCTTGCATCTCTGTGTCACCTTCTACTGAGAGATCACAGAAAAATGCTTTGCAACATTAATTTGTTAACTCATATAACACCCCAGTGTGATAGATTAGTATTACTACTCTTACGGTGAGGAAACTGAGACTCAGAGAGATTGTGACTTGCTCAGCATCACACAGGTTTTTGGTAGAACCTGCTTTCTTCGTAGTATGACCAAATGTCCCAATTTTATGGGGACAGTCCTGATATTTTGGGCTTTTTCTTATATAGGCTCCTATTACCCCCCACCCCAGTTCCGATTTTTCACACTTGCTATCTGGTCATCCTATTTCTTCGGGAACCAACCTCCCTGACAAAGCAAACTATCCTCTCCTTGTATGGATCTGTCTCCAGCTTGCAGTTCTTGCTTTCTAGAATTTAAGAACCCACATGGTTGGAAACATTACACACTGTAGTCTTATTACTTCACTGACCTGGGGAAGTGAAAATCCATCAGCCATTCTGAGATCCAAATCTCCCATTTAAAAATAGTAACCAAAAAGCACTCTTAGCAAGAAACTGAGTTAGGTTTTTGAAGAGGGAAAAATTCATATAATTGTCTATTTAAGTCAGAATTCTCAGTAAAATAGATTCTGCCATTACAGCAAGTAGAGAAGATGTTCTCTTTAGATAATAAAAACAGCAGAAATTTTATGTGCTTAGCTCTGGTAATATGCTAAGTGAAATATTACTCTGAGATGCCAAGCAAAATAGAAAGTGTTGAATAAATTGGAGCACATCAAAAGCAGAAAGAAAAACCTGTTGCACTGAGGGAGTTACTGCAGCTGGACTTTTTACCCTAAGTGTCTGTTTCACTTAAGTTCTCCAAATTAATGCACATGAAGGAAGGCATAAAGGAAATGCCTTATGGACCAATACGTTATACTTTGTATAGGAAGAAATTGTAGAAGTAGGCTCCTGTCCTTTGTAGTTTTTATTACAAATAAGCATTGTGCTTCATTGTACTTTCCAGAGGCTCTCCACAAAATGCTCTTTTTCAAAATTCTCCCTATCCCTATCTTCTGAGGGGCATTAGCCATGTACCCACATGTTATCCATAATTTACATCATGTTCTGTCATATCCCAGAATAACATTTAGATAAGCAAACATTGACATATTAACAGGCTCTTTTTGTACAGTGTGCTGAATCCACAGAGGATTCCAAACACTCTAAAATTTAGATCCAATTAAATTTCTCAGCAGAAGATATCCCTCAAAATGCAGTGTTCAGTTTCTTTCCTGACTGGAGTGTGAGTCCTGCAGGATAGCAAAGCTCATCATGTTGTCTTCTCTCTTAGCCTTAGAAGAGAACTGCATTCATTTTTCTCATCTTTGCAATCTGATTCCTGTGCAATATGTGGGTAAACTGAAAGATGTATTTGAAAGCAAATTTTTACCTTTAGAGTGAGTGTAACTTAACTTCAGTTAATTCTATCAAGATATTGCAGGTGAATGTGTTCCTTCATAGTTGCTGATCCCTCCCTCTAACCTCAAACTTGGATTATACCACATGACCCCGCCCAAGGAACTAGGCCTTATTTCTTGACTCTCCAGCAAAAATTCTCCCTCATGCTTTACTCCTGTCATGTACCCAAGCCACCTTTGTTCCCAATTGCCAGTTCCCTGCCTCTCCCCCAGAGTTAGACCACCATCAACTCTCATTGTACTTTGCATCTCCCTCAATGTGCCAATACATGTCTTTCAAGTGCCAGTTACATCTCTCCCTCCTCCCCCCATGGTTGTGGAACCTGACCAACTCCTGGCCTTCAGAATAGTCAGTTTCTAGCTATTATCCATATGGAAATTTCAGCGCGCAATAAGATTACTAGGAGGCAGCATGTAATATAGGAAAAAGTGTGGGTTTGGGAACCAGAAATTCCTCCATTTTTAATCCTGAATCCATCACTGACTTGCTCTGTAACCTAGGCAAGTCTCTTCTGTATCATTTTACCCATCTGCTAATTGTAGACATATTATATTTTGGAGTGTTAAGAGAACTAATGAATGTTCTATAACACTGTGAAACACAGGCCAAAATTTTCAAAAATAGAAGCTTACTGGGAGCTTCTGCATGCTCAATACTTTTGAAAATCAGGCCACATAGAAAATCAGGCCTAATCATAGATTTAAGAGTCTAAGTATTTTTTAAAATCTTATACATAGAGTTCTATATAAGTGCTAAGTATAATTATTCTTACAATCTACTGCTAGTAGAAGCTACCTTGACAAGGTATGACATCACTTGTGCCACTAGAGTACACGGTATGTTCCAAATCCCTGAGTGAGCGATTTCATACCAGTTTCCATCCTGCTATAAAGCTAGTTTAACAGTTAATATTTACACAAAAGATTTAATATTTATATTTTTCAAGAAACTGAATGATCTCCAGTGTTGCCTTTTTTCCCCACGAGTAAAATAATTGTAACAACTTAACCAATTGGTATACTCGAATCAACAGAAAAAAATGCAAAATCTTCATGCTAGACAATCCCATAAGTTCTTTCTCCTTTCTTCTCTTGAATATACAAACGTCTTGAAACCAAAAAAAGGAAGATGCTTTACATATATGTAATATATACATATAACATATATTTATATATGTAAAGTTTTGTGTGTATATGTATATGTGTGTGTATATATATTGGTTATATATATGTATATATTTTATACCTCTCCTGGTAGGGAGTGAAATCCTGTCCCCATTGAAGTCAATAGGCATGCCAGGATTTCACCCAGAAAATTTTACCTCTGGATAACAGTGCCATCCTCTGTGCAAAAGTCTTTAATTATTAGGCTCAGATTTATTAAACTGAATGAAAGGCATTTCTCAACTGAAGCAGATGTTTACATACCAAATTCCAGTTGCAATAAATCCAGTGCTAGATTTGAGAATGTATGGACATATGGTATCTCCCCCTCGAGAAATAGTTTCCAAATATTGATGTGGACCCAGAAACAGTGGGACATGCTTGCCAGAATATGGTTAAATGTGGATATCATGACTTCATTAAACTATTAACCAATGAGGAAACACTACCCATCAGAACTGTTCCAGTGGCCCTGGGTTGTACAAACCTACAGTGGGTCTGAGACCATGCCCTTCTACTCCCCCAGGCCTGCTCAGACTGGGTGGAAGCCAGAGTCCCAACCTATTCCCCTCCTGCATGCAGGATGTAGGGGAGATGAGATGAAGGGATCCCCATGCTGTATTAGACATGGAAGCAAACTCCTTCACCATGTAATGTCATGGTCAGGGCCCCTGCCCAAGAGGCACACTGGATTACATAAATCTCACATCAGACCCTTTTTTTAACCCACCCAACCACAATGTAAATGCCAAAGTTGTAATAAATGTAATTTAAATTCAAAAACTGGAGCTCTGGGGTGCTGGATGGAAAGTGAAAAAAAACCTCTCAAAACACAGCCATTGTGCTGCATAGGAAAAATCCCTTCCAGACCCCAAAACAAAATTTGGCAATAAGCTTAGTACCTGGCATAATAAGAGATCCAACTCACTAGATAAGAATGGGGAAGAAGGGGGCTTGAGCAAAGCAAAACTGGCTACCAGCCAACAATGGGCACAAATGATCCCTCCTTCCTACTCTCAGGTCCATGCAGGTCTGTCATGGGCTCAGTCATTCACAGGCAGCAGGATCAGGTAGGACAGACTCAGCCTGGATGGATGCTGTGGGAGACTGCCTCCTCCTACCCCCACACTGCAGGCCATTGGGAGGGAAGGATCAAGAGAACCAGTGGAAGCCCGAGTTTCCCCTTGTGCATTGGCCCACACCCGAGGCAAGTAGTGGAGGTGGTCCATGTATCCTTACTACTCCCAGACTCATTAGTCACACACTTGTTAGTGAGCA